TTTGTATTACTCATCCTAACGAGGTGTTACTTATTGGTACTCTGTGAAGAGTCCGTGGCATTGCATAAATAAGTAGCGCTTTCTTCCCCTTTTGTTTTTAAGTCAAACTACAATATTACGCGAAGGAGATTTCTCTAATAAGCTTTTCCATAATGGTGATTCCATGCCTTGGTAGTCAGGTTACCCGTTCCTGACAAACACGCTCATTCATGTGTTTATGGTATCTTGCATTTGCCCTTATGTTTTTCTTTCTGCATTTGGATTCAAGGGAACAAGTTTAGTGGGATATCGTGACAACGAATTTTGAGATTTGCCTTTGTAAAATGATCGTTTCTATAAAAACCTTTGTTCGTGTGAGTTTTTCATCTTTGATGAAACAAAGAAAACATATAACTTCGTTACATAATAAGAGCGCCTTCAGAGCGATATCTCCATTTTGAAAGTACACAGTATTATCACCGCGAAAAAATGAGAAATAGGCAAAAACCCATATCATTTCAAAAGACCGCAACTGACTGACGTACTCCATAGCTACATCCGGGTATTCCACTTGTGCAATCGCACAGCTGGATGGAAGTTTAACGGCGAGTCTATATATGGAGGCGCACTGCACGTTGGCAAACTCATATCTTATCGATGATGGCCTATAAGGTTTCCACATACCATACGATACTTGCATGAAAGGAAATGCTATCGCTCCGACTCATGCTGACTTATGTCCCGCTCAATTCCCAGCAAGTCAGCTGTAAAAGGCGGCATGTTTGATTTTTAAAATTTCCCTGATACCTCTTGATAGTGGTAGTATGACATGCTTACAATTTTCCCAAATATAACAACAAAGTCGAAGATTTAAGAAAAACACATAGTCAACATCCAACAATATATGTACACTATAATGAATGAGACAATTTCATATTGAGGGCTTTTAATTGAACGGCGAAGGAGGGTTGCATGCGAGGAAAGAGAAAGTACTTTTGATCAGCTGCGCACAGACCCAGACTAGAAGTAAGGTGGACTTGTCATCTGATGTTAGGTATGCTTATAGAAGTTTAAAATTTGGAGAGAAGCACTCTGTGCGCAGCATGTAAAATTACTCTCCAACTGTTATAGCCAAAATCCCCATGGATCACAGGCATCTGTTCCTGAGTTTCATAACAGAAAAGAAGGAAAAAAACTTGCAGGGAAAATTGGAGACAGATAGGTCACAAAAAAGACTAATGGAAAAAGTTGGGAGGAATGAGAGATGTTCGAACATTTCACTGACACTAGTGTGAGAGTGAAAAAGAAGGGGAATGCCGACCGCCATAGCTATGTCTTTCTGTATTGAGCAGCTAGCATTGGACCTTCGGAATGCTGAGATGAGCCGTATGACGCCGTGCGAATAGGTTATTACACGATATCTGAGGATTCTTCATAAGAAACAGTTCATTGCCAAGTCGCATTATATCCAGAGCACGGCCAACCTCTTCCTTGAATTTATTTCATTCAAACTGTGCACTCTATTTTGTGATTTAAAGGTTGGTGTACCTGGATGCTATGTAATCGAGGCGCTTTGACACCATCCCGAAGAAATCGAACACTACGCGGAATGACGATCGGTTCTTGAATAACCTGCAATTTGAAAATTACAGATTTATTTGGTCGCGATTTTTGTCAGTATAAGGCGATCAGATCAG